GTGGTTGTGCTCAGCCGCTGCGTACAAAGCTGTGCTGTCCTTGTAGCAATCGACGTCGGCCTTCGCTGCTAGCAGAAGTCGAACCGCTGGCCGGTGGCCGTTGCGGGAGGCCAGCCACAGCGCGACGTTGCTCCCGGGCGCCTGGAGGTCGGCGTGGGCATCTAGCAGGAGCTGCATCACTTCGGTGTGGTTCTCGCGTGCTGCGAAGGAGAGAGCGCTCGCATACATCTCTGTTTGCCCTTCGAGGTGGATTCGCATGTAGTCGTTCGGGCTCTGTGGTCGCTGCAGGATGTCCTCTACTGTCTCTACTGCACCCACTGCGGCCATGCGTAGCAGGTCTTCAATCTGAGCCTCGGTGGCGTCGGCGTAGTTCAGCTTCACGAGCTGCAGGTCGACGGCCTGGCCAAGGACCTCATCGTCTGCGAGGACCTGTTCTTGCAGCAGCAGTCTCTGTCGAAACCGTGGCAGGTTGTAGTCGTCTTGCAGTGCATCCTTCAGCTGCCTGATGCTGATGGGGGTTGTCGCCTGGAAGTACATGGTCAGCAGCACCTCGCCCGAGAGCGACAGGACTCTTGCTGGTTGCAGACCCGTCATGGCAGGCGGAGTGTCGCTGCAGGGAAGTCTTGTCTGTTTGCTGCCTGCTGATAGCTTTCGGGCAAGGGAGCCAGATCTGCCCGGTGTTCTCATACTTACAAGCACAAGGCGCTGCTTGCAAAAACGCTGGTGACTTCAGCATTCATGGCATGCATGGCTGCGTGCGCGCGTGCTTCCCTTTTATTTCGTTGCTTCTGGCTCTGCTCTGCACATTTCCATCTTTTCGTGTGCCTTCCCGAAGAGAGGGCTGTCGGGCAGGTGTGACTCTGCGAGGCTTTCCTCCTGTCCTGCGTGCGTGCATCTACCTGGCATTCCTGCTGCCCTCAGCTGCCACTCAGGCCTGCCACGAACCGATGCCGTCCCACACATTCTCCAGGTGAGTGCTGAACGCGAACGCAGCCGGTGGGGGGTCCGGCAGGAAGTGCTCGCTGCACATGACGTGGTGGAGGACGTAGAAGTTGAACTGCATGCATCCTCGACCTCCGCGTCGGTAGAGCTCTCTGCCGGCTTGGCGCTGCGCGTCGAAGGCGATTGCTGGGTTTTCCTTGCCGGAAGTCCAGAGTGTCAGGAGTGCGGAGTAGTGGAACCATCCCAGGTGTCTTTTGGTCCAGCGCATGTCTCGCATTACCCACGCCAGATTCACGCCGGGCGGCGGTGTTGCGGGTGTTTCGTGCACCATGCGCAGAAGCCACTTTTTGAGAGCTTGCTCTGACGGAAAGGTATTGGAAGCCAGGAAGGCGCGAAGCTCTGCTCGTTCTGCGCGCATCTCCCTGGCCAGGCGTGCATTTGCATGCGGAGCATGATCTGGAACTGCAAAGGCACTTGGGACTGTCGGCAGCCGAGGGGACTCCGGTGCAGGCGGCCGATGAAAAATCTCTTCGTCGCTGCTGTCTTCGAAGTGATCCCAGCG